TTGCTTCGCAGTACGGTGAGCGCCCGGCAGGATACTTCCCAGAGCTCACGAGTGGCGAACGCCCATCCCTGGACGGCATCGAGTTGCTCGATGGGACGCTCTTCTTACGAGTGGCTGGTCTCACTGCGGAGCGAGTGGCAGCGGCCGGAGAGGATCGATCGCTGTTCTGGGACGTTCGGGGCTTCTTTGTATGATGTTGCTGCTACCTATCGATACCTATCGCAGGTACACAACGCAGCGTAATATATAGTATGAATGCAGTGTGGGACACTGAATGTGGCTGGGTCCTCAGACGACGAATACACTGCATCCTCAATGCTAACGTATGTACATATTTCTCTCTGTATTTTTGGCGCACATCGCCGCTTCTCTCCAGGTCACGCAGGAACCATAAGTGACGGCTAATGCAGAACAGCAAAACAGCGGTCTTTCGGTGGCGATTCTGAAGGTCCAGTGGAGAGGTCTACCGTCTAGGAGGACAAAGGGAGCTAGGCTGAAGTTGTGGCATCTGAACGCACATCCGACGGGGATGTCGAGGCCACGCGCGTGTCTATACTCCCTAAGTTTTTTCATATCCAGTCCATATGTCTACGCGTCACTAACGGACACCGCGGTTGCACAATGTCATACATGACTTCAATTCTATCTGGGATGCACCCGCAACTGTGGGTTCGTCTCAAAGTAATGATTTGGTGACTGCGATTTCAACCGCGTGACGGAGGTGGAGGAAGCAGTTTGCTCAAAGATGTACGGAGACGTGTTCACTTCAGATGATTGCAGGAATGCATTCGGTACGAAGATACATCACAGCAAATCATGAATGCGCACAAACGGGACTCTTCGTGTATGTGTCTGGGAGAAGAACAGGTGTCAGCCTCGCCACGATCAGAGAAGAAGCCAACGCACGCACCTCCAGTCCCATCCTGCGGCTCGCTGCCTACTTGCTCTTGGGCGGCTCAGCGCAGTTGCACGCCGGGTAAGAGCATGAGCCACCGTTGGCCTGGACGTTAGCGCACTTGACTGTGTCCTGCGACAATCAGTGTCAGCTCGACGTTGGTCTGGTTTACGAGAGGTGTCAGTCACTCACAGACATGATGTTTGAGTGGATTGTGTAGTCGAGGACTGGGGAGCAGTAGAGCACACCAGGGCTGCCTTTATACTTATCCGGTCTACGGACGACAGGGGTAGGGTGTGGTCAGCTGTATGCCTCCATCTTCTCTACATATGGAATGCTCGTCTTGCGGTTGGCCCGACTTTATGAGCGATGGTATTCACGCGTTGCTATTGGTTGTATACACGTCCAATCACGTAGAGCCGCTCTGTCAGTGGGGAAGCAGAGATCGATGGAGGTTAAGCTTCAGCTTCATTCCCCGTGCCTCCAAGCTTGGATACCGTTCCCGCGGTGCTCGCAGTATAGCACCTGCTTCGCACCCACGTTTCGGACTCCAGACGCATGTAAATACACCCAGGAGAGTCGCTGATTCATGCTGATAAAAAAGCAACACCCGGCACAGCGCGGTTTGGAAGAGGCGCAGGCTGTCGAGGCGAAGACGTCGAGGGAATAGACGCCGGTCCGAGGACTTGGTATCCTTGCTATCCACCCTCGACGGCCGCATACTGCTCTGACCAGACTGGCGTAGGACGGCCATTCAGGACTTCTTGCTCTTACATCTAGCTTGCGATGGATTGCGTACGAGAGATCTCTCAGACCCGTGTTTGCGGCATCCTTCTGGCAGAACTGCAAGATTTGCACACAACACGCGCGCGCGCACGGCGACGTGATTGGCCACGAAGATTTGTTATATTCGTTGTATGTACAACAGACAAACACAGACACTCGACTCTTGGTATCCTAGCGCTGCGCCGCCCATGGCTGTCGTGTTGAGTACCCCGTGCGGAAGACCACGCTTGCATAGCAGCAAGGCCATCTCGTCGTCCCCTTCACACTTCGTCCCACGTGAAAACTTCTGTTGCAACGATCAACGAAGGTAAGACACAATCGCTTCAGTAGTCCGTGAGCGATCTTCCGGGCCGCTCGCAGACTGTCGAGAGACCCGTGCGTCATGTTGGGTCGCGACAGGAGGATATCCAACAATATGCACGACGATGCACTTACCTCAGTCGTTCCGATTATATGAATTATACGCCACTGCGCTGTGGCGGCGGTTGTTTCTGATGCCCCTCCTGCAAGGGAACATCCCATGTTGCAGCGAAGGCATATCTTCACTATGACCGGAACTGGATCAACAGGCTAGACGCCCCACCGAGGGACCAAGTACACCTTGTTTGACCGCTTGTTCCAGCATCGTGCTTCAGCCGCCGCTGTGGCGGCGTTCATGAAACGACAAGCATAAACATATCAATCAGCAATGACACAACCTGATGTGTCGGCGCGAGGAGCCGCCGTTGACTGAGAGCTGCACAAATTACTTCCGTCAGGACTCGCTGTTGAACTAACAGGACCTTGATTGGGAACTGGCGTACTCCATTATAAGCGGCGTTCCCCTCGCCAATGGAAGGCCTGGACGGAGATTGAGCGAGGCCGTTGTCGCTTGCCTGCAGTGCACCGATGTCAGAATGCGAACGGGTTCACACGGACTCACCAGGTGTTGGCGCACGTTGGTTTCCCCGTCGCGAGCGTTGAGGCGGGTACTTATCCCGAGGGCCACGGAAAGGCCTGCGCCATGCCTCGGGGCCTTCGTCCCATCCGCTTGGAGGAGATTATTTGCAGGGCTCTGTTGAGTCTTCGCCCCATCCCGATCTTTGGAGGGAGACATTTGCCGGGGACCCTTCACTCCGTCCCGATTATTGGAGGGAGACACTTTTGCGGGAGCGCCTTGATCCTACAAGCGATACGACACAACAATGAGTAAGTGGACAACACATGAATACAATGCACTGCTTACCTAGGTATTGGTCGGCCATGTTGTCTTCGCCCCGTCCCGATCTTTGGAGGGAGACATTTGCCGGGGACCCTTCACCCCATCCCGATCGTTGGAGGGAGACACTTTTGCGGGGGCCAGCTTGATCCTGGGGGCGACACGACGACATGGTGAGTGAGTGGTCTACAGAGGGATGCGGCACACTGCTTACCTAGGTCCTGGTCCACGATGCCGCTCTTCGCCCCATCCCGATCTTTGGAGGGAGACACTTTTGCGGGGGACCCTTCACCCCATCCCGATCGTTGGAGGGAGACACTTTTGCGGGGGCCAGCTTATCCTACAAATGATA